CCCTGTCCAAGCCATGGGCTGCCAGCTTTCCAGGAGTATATTATGGGAGACAGTGTCAAAGGCTTTGCTGAAGTCCAGATAGACCACATCCACAGCCTTCCCTTCGTCCACCAGGTGAGTTACCTGATCGTAAAGGAGATCAGGTTGGTCAAGCAGGATCTGCCTCTCCTAAACCCGTGCTGGCTGGGTCTGATCCCTTGTCCATCCTGTAGCTGCTGTGTGATTGCACACAGGATGATCTGCTCCATAACTCTGCCAGGCACCGAGGTCAGGCTGACAGGCCTGTAGTTACCAGGGTCAGCCTTGCAGCCTTTTTTATGGATTGGGGTGATATTTGCCAACTTCCAATCATGTGGGACCTCCCAGTGAGCCAGGACTGTTGGAAGATAATGGAGAGCGGCTTGGCAAGCTCTTCTGCCAGCTCCCTCATTACCCTAGGATGGATCCCATCTGGTCCCATAGACTTGTGAGGATCCAGGTGGCTCAGTAAGTCACTAACTATTTCCTCCTGGAATACAGGGGGCTATTTGGTTTCCTCTCTCTGTCTACCAGCTCCAGAGGCCAGTTGCCTTGAGGGCCACCTGTCTTACTGGTAAAAACTGAGGCAAAGTAGGTGTTAAGTACCTCAGCCTTCTCCTCATCTCTATTAACTATGTTTCCTCCGAGTCCATCAAAGAAGGGAGGTTTTCTTTGCCCCTCCTTTTGTTATTAATGTATTTATAGAAGGACTTCTTGTTATCCCTAACAGAAGTGGCCAATTTAACTTCAAATTGCGCTTTGTATCCCTGATTTTCTTTCTGCATGATCTAGCTGTCTTCCTGAATTCTTCGTAAGTAGCCAGCCCTCTCTTCCATAGTCGATAAACTCTCTTTTTATCCCTGATTTCCTTCAGAATCTCCCTGTTTAACCAGGCTGGTTGTCTTCCCCGCCGGCTTGCCTTTCGGCACACCGGTATGGCCTGTTCCTGTGCACTCAAAACTTCCTGTTTGAAGCACATCCATCCCTCCTGGACTCCCTTGTTTTCAAGGGTTGTTTCCTAGGGTATGCTCTGGACTAGACTTCTGAATAGGTCAAAATCTGCCCTCCGAAAGTCCAGCGTAGAGGTTTTATTGTTGTTTCTCCTTGAATCTCTGAGTATTGAAAATTCTATTATTTCATGATCACTATTTCCTAGGCGGCCTTCAACCACTATATCTCCCACCAGCTCCTCTCTGTTTGTAAACAGCAAGTCTAGTGGGGCCTTACCTCTGGTAGGTTCATTTACCAGTTGATGAAGGAAATTGTCCTCTATACACTCCAGGAAATTCCTAGACTGCCTCTTCTCTGCAGTATTGAGCTCCCAGCAGATATCCGGCAGGTTAAAGTCACCTACAAGGACAAGGGCTGACAATTTTGAGACATCCGCCAGCTGCTTGTAGAATAATTCATCCCCTTCATCATCCTGGTAGGGCGGTCTGTAACAGACACCCATGATGATGTCAGTCTTGTTGGTCTTCCCCTGATTTTGGATCCACAGGCACTCAACCTTATTGTTGCTGACCTCAAGTTCAACAGGGTCCAGAGAGTCTCTAACATATAAAGCCAACCCCTCCACCTCTCCTCCCCTGCCTGTTCTTCCTGAAGAGCCTATAGCCTTCCCATAGCAGCACTCCAGACATGCGAGTCATCCCACCATGTTTCTGTGATGGCGACTACATCATAGCCTTCCTGCTGCACAATTGCCTCCAGCTCCTTCTTTTGTTTGTTGCCCATACTGCGTGCATTAGTGTACATGCACTTCAGGTGGGCTGTTGATTTAATTCTTAACTCAGGCTTTCCATCCTTAGGCTGATCACTGGAGAGCCCGGTTTCAACCCCTTCCCCCTTCAAACCTAGTTTAAAGCCCTCCTAATCAGCCTCGCTAACTTATGGGGCTACAGTCCTCTTATTCTTCCTAGAAAGATGAATCCCATCTGATTTTAAGAAACTAGGTACCATGGAGTTTGCCCCATGGTCAAAGAAACCAAAATTTTGATGGTGGCACCAATTCTTTAGCCATCTGTTGAGGAGTTGGGTTTTTTACTCCTCTCTTTATTTAACTCCTCATCCATCCCAGATAGTACAGGAACTGAGGCAAATATCACCTGTGCTCCTGTCCCCTGAACTGACCGACCCAGTGCTTTAAAGTCTTTTTTAATTATCCTGGCACTTCTTTGATTAATGTCCTCACTGCCAGCCTGGACAACCACCAGAGGATAATAGTCTGAGGGCTGAATTAACTCAGGAAGTCTCCTACTAATATCCCTCACCCTGGCCCCAGGAAGGCAGCATACTTCTCTCTGGGATGGGTCTGGGCGACATATAGGGCCCTCAGTTCCCCTCAAAAGGGAGTCACCGACTACAACTACCCTTCTTTTTTTTTTTATACCTGTGGTTGTAATCCGTCTTTTGGACAGGGCTGAACAAGGAGGCTCTCTAGAGGGATCATCTTGGCTGTCCTCTACCTGACTGTCTGGTTCCAGAGTCTCGTATCTATTCTTCAAGGGCACCCTGAGGGATGATGGGGGTCTAGAAAGAATTCTTCTACCTCTCCCATTAGGGACCTGTTTCCATTCCCCCCCATCATTTTGGTCTGCTCCATCTGTCTTATGGCAGGAGAGGCAGGGCTTCGCCGTCTCCTGTTGGACTTCTTTAGGGTTTAAAAGGGTTTGACTCCACCAGTCAATTTCCTTTTCACTCTCCCTAATGCACCTTAATCTCTCTACCTCTTCCTTAAGTTCTGCTACAAGGCACAGCAAATCACTCACCTGCTCACATCGTACACAGCTACCTCCTACACCATCCTCCAGTACCAACGTCAGGCTCAGACACTCAGCACACCCAGAGACCTGGGTGGCTGCATCCTTCTTCGAGAGGAGTGTCTGAGCGGAGTGTCTGGCTTCTTTGTAACTCTTAAGCCATAGGAGTCATGATATGGAGTTCCAAATTGTGGGCTACAATATAAATACATAAGCAATTAGAAACTAATGAATTAGCAGTGCAAATTTCTTACTATGAGTTAAACCCATCAGTCTTCAGCAGGCCCCACATAGCAGGAGAATTTCTTGGAGGAAAGGATGAGAAGAAATGGCCTCAAGTTACAGCAGGGGAGGTATCTAACATCAGATTGGATGTTAGAAAAAAAATTTCACTGATAGAGTGGTCAGGCATTGGAATAAGTTGCCCAGGAAAGCAGTGGAGTCACCATGTCTGGAAGTGTTCAAGATGCATCTGGATGTGGCACCTGGGGATATTTTTTAGGGAAAGTTATGGTGGTACCAGTTTGATGGATGGACTAGATGATCTTGAAAGTCTCTTCCAATATTGATGATTCTGTGATTCTGTAAATGCATGGCTACACTTCATGTTCAGCTGCCCACATAATTTAAATGTAAACCTCCTTTTCATTATATGGATAAAGAGTGAAATGGTGAAGTGGGATTAACACATTCTCTACTCTCACTTTGGCAGTCCAGGTAGGCAAAAAGGAGAAAGACAGAGACAGTTTTTAACAATATTATAACTAGATTTATCACTACTCACATGACAACACTGTGACTCACATGAGTGAAGTGATTTGAATTTGCAGAGCAATTCCTCATGCATTGCATTTCCAGACAGAATAAAACAACCCAGAGATTGCTGTCTCTCCGCTTATGAATATGAACACTACTATATGATTCCATTTTATTAGGAGCCAGATTTGACCATTTAGTATTCTTTTATTCTTGCTAGGGAAAAAAATTAGTTTGAGTTGAAGTAGAGTAATGCTGTAATCATTTGACTGGGTGCGTAACTTATTCTGCATAATGGTGTTATAACAATCCATTTTCCCTATAATTCTACAAGTGCTATTTGGAGTTCATATAGGTGAGCACTGGAGGCTTTTGCTGGAGATGGAGAAGAGAGGTTGAGCCATTAGGAACTCCTGGGTAAAATGAGCAGTAATCTTCACAAAAATACAGTTGGTTAGATATCAAAACCATAGGTCACAGCATGGAAACTAGAAGATTGGGTTTGTTCTTTTGCAGCATACCATGAGTGCCTAAAATCTTGATTTCCATCACTTTTCTTCCACTCCCAGTTTTCTCCAGACAGGACTAATACTGAGTGGTAGAACAAGGAACGAAAAGATGGAATTGCTCTGTACTTATTCTGATCCTTCTGATGACTTTCTAGAGGACATTCAGCAACAATAGACATATCAAGACTACACAATGAAAAAAAGCAGCAGGTAACAATCTAGCACTAAAGAATTTAGGCCTGGAGGCCACAACTGGTAACTGAACCTCTAGCTAACATTCTCAATGACAACATACAGATATTCTTCATGGTACTATACTACATATGGTCCATCTTCCTACAAGTCACATGGTTCTGATAGCACTTACCTATTCATGGTTTGCTGTCAAGTTAAATTTATCCAAGTCAAGCACTTGAAGTCTTTGGATTTGCGGAATTGGAAATTATTACCAACATTATAAAGTGAGTGGGTGCTGCTTAGACAGAGAATCAGCTCTTCAGAACATGGTTGAAATGACAATGGAAAAAGAAGCACCTGCCTTTCAAGTTAGTCTCTAATAGGAAGAGAAGCAGTCTGTAACAAAGGATAATTGTTACAGTTTTAATCCTAGACTGGAAATTTAAAAGAGTAATGGAACAAATAAGATTTTTCCTATATCTTGGTACAATCTGAGGAATAATCCTATCATTTTCGTAAGACACAAGCCCTCTGGTTAAAGGAGAAAACCGTAACTAAGCAATGTAAAGAGATAATCTTGTTTAGAAATGTGGAACATAGAAAAGAAAATGCTGAATCGACCAGATGTGTCCCCAACATTTTACTCCATTCTTAACATTTCTGTAGATGATATATGGAAACAGTGGAGTTAATACCGCACGAACAATTTCATGGCAACTGAGAGAAGACTGACAGAAAGAATTGGAAAGATCATCAATTAATGCTAATAAACCTTTGCTTTTCTGTTTTTGGGAGGATAATTGTTATAGCTAAATGTCTTTTTGGAAAAAAAGTAAAAGCTGACTGGAAAAGGAGAAAAATTACACAATACTCTTAAGCACAAAAATGTATATTTTATTAGATTTTAAATCTGTTTTCATTTGTCTGTTGCTATCTATACGTGTTTCCAATACCTAGTTAGGTTAATATTTGTGGGAGGTAAAGTCTGTGGCCACGTAGACTAATTTCAACAGAACAGGAGGCTGGAGCATCATTTGAAACTGTCAGTTGTCCTCTTCTATTTAAAGGCAGTGAATTATTTTGTTTAATGTTCTCCAGTGCACAGAAAACAGTTACACAACTTTTCTGAATGTAGTTCTCAGTCCTGATTAACTACAATTCAAGGATTTAGCAATCTCACATAAGTTTTCCAAAAGTCTCATTTAAAGCTTTTACCCCAATCACTTTTCAAAATAACATAATATTTTCTTATGGAAAGACAGTAAATTAATTTATGGCTTATAACAAAAAAAAAAAAATTTCCTGTTATTCAGCAGATCATCTTGTAGTGTAGAAGCCTGTTTCTTGTCAGTGACTAGGGATTCACTGCAGATATCTCTAATCAACAGGAATCTGTCATTTTAATTGACAGTTCACTTAGGGCTGACAGTTATTAAAAGCAGACAGCTAGCACAGCCTAATAGTTACCTAGACCATAGCATCTCTGTTAGGGCTGTAACCAGTACTTTAAAAGTATTTAAACCAGAATAGCAAACAAATCTGGGCTAGTGTGTTAAAGGTGAACTTCAGAGAGGCTGCTGTGACCATTCTCTTACTGATGGAACACTCTGAGATGGTAAGAATTTTCTATCACATTTTGGGCTTAGCTCCTTCTCCAGCATCAGCATTCAGCTGAACATTGACACTCCACTCCAAGGCATGAGCCCACAACTCTTTACAGATTAATTCAAATGGGGTTAGATTAATCTTATTATCAGAACCATTTTCATTTCATGCCACGGTCACCACATTATGTCCGTGTTTAGGCTGACCAGGCATACCAAGGACTCACAGACCATGTTTAAGTTGAGTATCAACCCACAGGGCCAACTTCTGATAATCCCAGAACTCCATCTGCCTTTCTTAGTCCAGAGTCTTAAATGGATTTGGAGTGATAAAGGTGAGTTACCTTAAGACTAGTGATAACATCTGTGATGATCTGTGGCTCCAGGATTTCCTCCCCCCAACATATCAAGATGATAAATAAGGAATGAGTATCTAAGATGTGCTATGGTTCCACTTGAAGAAAATTTACCAGATTTTCAAAGCCTCTCTTTTCAGCATGAAGGAAAATGGCATGTTACAGAAGAAAAGCACCTTCTCAGTTATGCCAAAACAGTCTGTTTACAAATGTATGCTATAATCAAGTTTTAATCTTTAAATGCCAGGTACTAGACTCAGTTAAAATCATTCTTATATACATGAAGCAGAGAATCTAATACGGTATGCCTTCACTAGCACACACTGCTTTCAGTATCATTATCCCTTAGGATTAAAGTTTACTCCATTATTTTACTTCTAATGGTTGATTGATTTTTTTCCCCATTCTCTTCCTGAGGACTGACAATTTTCTTTCTTCTGATTGCACAGGTTTTTTAAGTCACCTCATACATTTTCCTTGCTAAGAAATGAGATTTAATCACACTAAGTCCCCGGCTCCTGAGAAGATACATCCCAGTCTGTTTCTTGTACAATTTTGAGATTCCTGCTGTCTCAAAGCCTAAGTAGCAGAGTCTTGCTCCAGAAATACATTTCTAGGCATGTCTAATTCTTCTACATGTCATTGCAAATCTCTGCAATGCCATTAGCGTTATGCTACATTCTGTGTCTAATTTATTGAGCTTCTTTGTTACGGGATATTAAACAAAATAATCATGCATTAGGCATAATTAGAACGTGGCTAAATTAATTTCTGTAATGCAAATTATACTGGGGAACTGCAAAAGTAATTCACACCTCTGTGCTATAGACCCAACATGACACTTAAGTCAGCTCACAATATAAAAGGTTCATGGCCCATAAACTGCAATAAACAAGCACTATAATTTTCAAAATCTTAACTGGATGCATGCCTGTCGACTTTAAGAGTAGCAATTCACACATAATTGACTATGATAAAGTAATTACAGACTGCTGTACTTGCACAGAATTTTATCATTAAATTCATGGCTCTTCCTCTGTCCACCTAACCAGCCATTTCATCCCAGAAGGCAACTTAACTTGGTCGAGCATGATTTGCCCTCATGACTCTCTGCAGGTTGTTCTTCCTCATCTTACCATTTGTGTACTAGAGATGGATTCCAAAAGCATATGCAGCATATGCTCCATGATTTTTTTGGACACTGAGATAAGTTTTATCAAGCAAGAGTTTCCCAGATGTTCCAGTTCACCTTTTATAAAGGTGGACACTACAGCCTCAATCCAGTTGCCAGGACCTCCTGTGTTACAACTGTGTTAAAGCTGATGGGCAATGCTATAATATTGGACAGCATTTGTGTAAAAGTTCATGTGTGGAGTTCCACGGTTATAAGGTGACTATGCTCTTAAATCTTTCTCATTTCTTCCCTGTTACTGGCAACTCCTTTCCTTCTGTGGTGTTCACAGAAAACAGAAGCAGTCTTTGCCTGTGAAGACTGAAGCAAAAAAAAAAGGTATGAAGTATTTCTGCCCTTTCCATATGCACCAGTGGGTTGTCGTCCTTCCCCACCCACATGAAGGGAGCTGCAGGGATTTCTGTACAGATGGTGCTGTTTTCTCTAGCACCATGAATAAACCATCTCAATTAGGCACTGATGTAAGCACTGTTGAAATAGCTTACATTTATCTTGATTTTGTTGAAATTGAATTCTTCAAAGAGAACTGGGCAATCATCCTTCATCCTTTCATCAACCCAAAGCAATGGGCAAACACAAAGGTTAATCAAGAAGGTGAAGAACGACTGTCTACACAACTCTGTGTGATCAAACCCAACGTTCAACAGAAAATGTAATCTGACACACTCTGAAAACACATTTACCTGGGCTTTAGCCTTTGCTGCACAGGACATGTTGCATTACAACAGGCTGGTGACTTTTCAGTTCCAGTCATGCCAAAGAGGTGGAACATTTCCAAAGCAGCAGGAACATTACTGGTTGCAAGAAAAGAGTGTCATAACCAATTTTTCCAGTAAGCTATGTTTACAAAAATCCTTCTGAGACATATGAATCTCACTAACCCTTAAGAAGAGTTTGGGGTGCTAGTAGGAGGGATGAATAGCTAAACTCATGTAGTATTCTGATGCCTAACTTCACAGGACTGCTGCTAACAGGAGCTGCCAAGAGCAGCAGCTACATTCAGAAGCCACAAGAGCCAAGACCGTGGTGAAAACGAAGCACAGGGACACAGGCAGGCACAGGCGAGTAACAGACTTGAGATAAAGCTGGAAGGTGTGCTGTGACATACAGATATACTGCAGAATCCTAACAGCAAGCTGCTAGTCAGAGCTGGCTTAAGATGGGCTTGGCATTGTGTAAGAATGCTAAAATCTTCAGTAGTTACCCTGTTCAGAAGAAAACCTAGAGTTAATTACTATATTCCTTAATCCAGCTAATGATTTTCCCACACCCCATTGCATATGCCACTACAAGCACCAGACTAAATGAGTTCTTATGTGTAATGCAAAGCCCAAACTATCAAATTGAATTGTCACGTCTTACCACTTGTAATCAACAACTTCTGACTATGTCACAAGATATTGTCGTTGATGTCTCAGGTGAAGGAAAAATACAGGAAGTAGCAGGTAAAATACCCACTTTCATCCACTAGCAGGTGGAATTTATTTTTTATTTCTGAAAAAGTTATTTACTAATGGCAAAAAGTTGTTCATCGTTTTGATGTGGAATAAAATGGACAAAATAAAAGGCCAAGAAAAAGAAGCAATCAGAGCTATTAATGTAAGACTCTACAGTTCTAAAAATAGCCAAACATCCCTGAAATAGCAGTGATGACTAGGAATGCTGAGAAAAAGACAAAAGAATAAAGGAGGTGGGACAACACTCACATCTAAGCACTGTTTTCTGAAGGAAACAATTGAAGTGTTCCAGGAAGACTTAAAACACATCTAGGTATGGTATAAGAAACTGAATTAAACATATTTAATGAGATCATCCAGACCGCAAATACTATGTCAACTGTGTTATGAATACATTGTTCACAAAAATTACCTTTTCTGCTTTCAGAAGAATGGCCTGTCTGGCAGAGTATGCCTTTTTTCTTATGATTACATCAAGTACACCATGAAAAAAAGAACTAAAAAAACCTCCCTCCTCTACAATTCACACAAATTTTGTAGACAAATCTTTCTTGTACATAGAGATTTAAACAACTGTGCCCAAAGACGGTTTTTGTATGCCAGTGAAAAAACATGCGTGCACTGAGTAACATGAAGTATTTCCTTCATGAATAGAAACTCTTTCACCACTGCTCTGTGGTGGAGAGGCTGTAAATCAGGAAGACTAGAGCACAACTGATATTCCTCACATTCAAGAAGTAGGAAGGGTATGTAACATTAGAAGACAGCAGGTCTGGAGTATATGAACAGAAACACATTACTTCTGTTAATTAAATTGCAGGTCCCATTACTACAGGATGTAGTGAAGGATAAATGGGTTCTAAAAGAGATTAGATGAACCCAGAGAGAACAAACAGGTCTGTCACAGAACATTAAACACAACTGTTGGGCTACAGCTGGGTCACAAAGTATCTAAATAGCTGTTTGCTGAAGGTGCTGTGACGTGCTTGAGAAAGGCCTCTTTATATATGACCAGCTTGCTAAACCCGTTGCATTTATTCCTTGCTGCAGCCAGAGACAGGGTACAAGGCTTGACAGACCCTTACTCTGATCCAAGAGGAAAGTTCTTTATCTACTGTTCCTTCTTCCACTGGGGCAAGTCAGGAGACAATGAATTACTTTTAATATTCTTTGTTCAGAAAATAATTCTTTAAGATCTAAATTAGTTATAATAATGCCTATAAGTTCAGAGGTTTATTATCTATTACATTGAGGGATTTTGAACTGCTTCAGATGCATTCCTGAAAATGGAAGCAATGGCTTCTTGAGGACCTTATCACCAGTAGCTAATAATTTGCATAGTATAAAGGATTTTCTTAAATCTCCAGAGTAAACCTCGTAAGAAACCCTCAGGTGTTCATTATTCCCACTGACTTCACATTCTCTGTCCTAACTGGCTAGAATGCCAGTCTGGAAACTTCTATAATATTCTGCCATTCCCTTCAAGCTTTTATGTGAGGCAAAGTTATGGATAAAGAACAACCAGGACACCACAGAGAAGCTGGTGAGTGAATGGCTAAGCCACTACTCACCATATTTGATTAAGTTGTGGCAGTCTGCCGAAGCTCCCACTGACTGCTGAGAGGGAAACATGTCAAAGCAAGTCCAATGGAGGATCGTGAAGATGACTGAAGGGATGGAACACCTCTCCTATGAGGAAAGGCTGAAAGAATTGAGATTGTACAGCCTGAAGAGGAAGCTCCAGGGTGACCTTAATAGCAGGCTTCCAGTAGCTAAAAGGGGCTACAACACAGCTTCAGGGGGTTTTACAAGGGCCTGTAGTGATCAGACTAGGGGGCTGGCTCTAGACTCAAGAAGAGTAGGGTCAGATTGGGTAATAGCAAGAAATTCTTCCCTGTGAGGGTGGTGAGACACAGGAACAAATTACCCAGGGAACTTGTGGACAACACACCCCTGGAAGTGTCCAAGGCCAGTCTGGATGTGGCCCTGAGCAACCTGGTCTAGAAGAAGGTGTCTGCCCACAGCAGATGATCTTTAAGGTCCCTTCCAACCCAAACCATTCTATGATTCTCTGATTATTCTGTGTGTGTTTGTTTGTTTGCAGATAATTTGTTCCAATATACATAACTAAAACAAGTTATATGTGATAGCATTGAAAAAAAAAATCACATACACAGCACAACAAAACCACACTCTTGTTTCAGTCTTGTGCCAAATGCAATGAACCCATCTTTGAAGTTTACCCATTGAAATTGCATACATTTGTATTAGTTATTCTGTTAGTCTGTGTAGGTAGCTGAAGCATGTGAAATACACCAAAGGCCTTGTTCAGGAGATTCTTCTGCTGTGAGGAAGTACTCTCAAAATGCAAAGTTAAAGATAATTTCACTCATGAGTTTCCAGACAATATCCAAATCTTATTGTTTGAAATCTAAATATTAATTTGTAAAAACCACATCTCATTAAATTAAAAATTCCCCAAAATTCACAGCTTTTATTCTGGTGATCTCTTCTTCTTATGAAAGGAAACAAAATTTTCAGAAGAAACTGAGTGTCCAAAAAACCTGATTATGAAGAAGGAATGAAATTTTTTGTTTGTTTGTTTAGTTTGGTGTTTGGTTTTTTAAACTTCAAATAGTCGTAGTACAGCTGGAAATCTCTGTGTTCAGAAACAAATGTCTGCAAGCTACACAGCTTGCCAAAGTCAGAAAAAGACTGATTTTTATAAACTTCATAGGAAAAGTGTTTTAATTGCAGAGGAGAACAATTTTTAGATTAAATTGCTTTAAACTAATGTTAATAAAATGTTAATAATTCAGACATTTTATTTTTGCAAAAACAATAACTTTATTAAACACAATATAGGTTTTGGGCTCCTGCAGAGAAATCAAATTCCCACCTCTTTTTTTTTTCCAGGTAATTTTTTCATGACTACAGTTTTTGCCATGAAAGACTAAGGTAACTAGCTACATTATCTATAGCCATAAAATCATAGAATCATTGAAAGGCTTGAGTTAGAAGGAACCTTAAATATCATCTAGTTCCAAACCTGATCCCGTGGGCAGAGACACCTTCCAACAGACCAGGTTGTTCAGTGCTCTGTCCAACCTGGCCTTGAATCTGACTGTCTGCTCACTGACAGCAAAAACCAGTACAACATGAATAGCTGCACATATTAATTTTTGCTCCAACTCAAGTGAACAAAAATATGCAGTTATGCACATTCTAAAATACTCTGCCATATCCAGATGTATAAAATACAGCATCAGAAGAAGCACTGGAACAGCTTCCCCAGGGAAGACATAAAGTCACCATCCCTGAAAGTATTCAAAAAATCATGCAGATGTGGTAGATGTGGCACTTAGTGATATCGCTTGGTGGACCTGGAGGTATTCAGTCAAAGGTTGGACTCGACGGTCTTGGAGCTCTTTTCTAACCTTAATGATTCTATGATTCTAAGACCTAGCAGGACTGGAATCTGGTATTTTTGGTAACAAACTGTATTATTATTCTGAGGGAAATTTTATGCAGAAAAAATCCTTAAGGATTTTACAGTAGAGCACTTTTCATATATGTTAAAACACACAGACTCTGATTGAAGAGAGTCTGCAAATGAATCCAAGTTTCCTCGAGCTGCACTGACAATTTGGATAATTCCTCCAATAGGCTTGGCTCCGACGAGAGAATCTTCAGATGTAACTGAAAATGAAAACAAGCAGTTAGTGAAACAAATGCAGATAATAAAAATATTAAAAGATCGTTTCCTTCATTCAGTTCCAATACTTTGCCTTCAGGAAATACTTTGCCTTCGAAGTAAGGAATTCTTTTTCCTTGAATTAATTCCTTCTATTTCATGCTGCCTCCCTTTTGCTAGTCTTACATACGTACCAAATGGGATAAGGCAGCAAAATGTCTTCAACATGCTACTGCTTTACTAGATCTTCTTCGGCCTAAGTTGCTGAATCTATCCTAATCACACACTCTTCTCGAGCATAACTTTCTCCTCTTTCTGACTTGCATCACAAATTCCTCTTTAGGCTAGAAAAGCTAGATAGATGCCCTGAGGTCAATTAGGATTATTATTTTAACTATCCGTGTTGCATACAGCAGGAAGAATAATGCCAGCACACACAATACAGATGGATGATATCTCTTCATGTAATAAACAGTAACCTTGTTAAAGGAAAAGACACCTTTCGATCTTGTAGCAATTATTACCACTTAATGGATGGAACAGTTATTTTCCAGGCTACAGTTTAAATCTAGGAGTATTTCTATTCAGCTTTATCCTTAGAGAGAGTAGGTTCAGTTTGGATATCAGGAAAAAATTCTTTATTGTGAGAGTGGAGAGGCACTGGAGCAGGTCGCCCAGAGCAGCCATGGATGCTCCAGTATTACAAGGTGTCTGAATGTTTATAAGAATGTTTCACCAGTAAACCATAATTAATTTTTCTCACACGGTTCCATAAGTCAGAGTATCTTAAGCACTTGCATATCAGAAGGGATTCAATCTTCTGCAGAATGACTTTCTCTCTAAGATTACTGTTACTGTGCTTCATCCAAATAACTTTCTGACTTATACAAGACCTGGGAGTTATTTCATTAGCTCTGTGATGCTCAACAGGTAACAGACGAAAGACAGCCCACTGACATGGAAAGTAAATCAGACTTGCAATGTAAGTGCTAAGTCCAAAAAAATCTCTAATTTACTTTTCCAACCATTGTGCATTAAATACTTTGGTTACTTAAGACATAGCACATCTCAGCTTAACAATTACCAACCATTAAGAAATTATGTATGTTACCAAAAAAAAAAAAGAAACACACCAATTCTAAATAACAAATACTTAAATAAGACCTGCCTGCCAGGATCCTATTCAGAACACCTGGTTTTTTTTGCAAATTTTTCTTGACTGTGATCAGACGAGTTGCCAAATAATCCAATGCATTCAGTTAGACATTTTAAAACCATTCCCAAACACAATCATTTAAGATATTCTTTCAAGTAGACAAGTTATATCCTTTTCCTGCACAACCATCATTTTAAACAGGACTAACATCAAATTTTATAAGACAATTATTACCTTTAAAAATAATGCAAGGTATGCCTGAGCAAGTTCAAAGTTGTACTTCTTGTTCAGCATCATCCCAATCATTCTCAAAAAGCTCAGCATCACCTTCATTGAGCCACCACCTTCAGGGGCCAAACCCCGTAGTTCTATCTCAATATTAGATGGTCCCAACCTTTTCAGTAGGTCAAGTGGAACTTTATCTGTGTTAAAAGATTGAGTGAGATGTTATTAGGAACATTTGTAGAAAAGTATCTTACAAACCCTTCATAAGATAGGTTTATTCCAAAATTCTTCAGCAGTGACTATGAATTTCAAGTTTCTACTGTTTCCTTACTATTGTGTTTACAACAAAATGCCTTCCTGCCTTTAATTTACCGTCCCATCACATACTAGAGAAGTACATCTCTAATAAGACAGATGCACTTTATTTGTAAATTCATCTTGAAAAATACAAGTAATATCTTTATATTTGTTTCATTTTTTCCCCGTTTTCTGTCCTTTAAGCTGAACAAAATTTACTAACCATAGCAATGTCATTTTACATCTCTTGGCAAAAGGAATGTATATACTTGGGATTTCAAGATACTTAAAGAGAAAAGGTGCTACTTTTACTAGGCATCTTTACTGTTAACTGACATTAAGCAAAACTGGGGATCATCTGGTACATTTCATGTAATTAGAGCTTTTGTTAAGTTAATTTCTCCTGCTTTTCCTGGGACCTGGGGGGTGGTGGAAGATCTTCCCCATGGTAAAATACATACAATTTAAAAACTCTTTCATCCTCTTCATAAGTGTTCCTCCTCAGGATTCCTACAATCCTACCCAATTATCTACAAGAATCCCACCCACTTGCTTTAAAAATTAAGAAGCAAAAACATGTTTGGCTGCAAATGCAACTGATGGCTAAAACACTTATAAAAATGTAATTTAAGAAATTACTAAGACGACCAAATTCTTATACTCTCATATCATGGCAACCTACAGCATTAGACACTGGCTAAGATTCCTTAGGTATAAACTTGTGTCCATCTGTATTTGATTCCTATGAAAATCATTAGCTAGTTTTAAACATAACTGTGATATTAACAGTACTAAACAGATACAGTAAATAACTTCTGTGCTATGACATTAAAAAAACTAAGCATGGAACGTGTTATGAAGTTGGTACACAGACACTATGGGAAAGAGTGCACTTGCTCCTTGGTACAGCCATCCTCTAAATGCTTGGTAGGGTTTTTAAATATTCACCTGAAGCATTTTAATAGAATACTATAAATTAAAAATACTAAAAACATAAAACCACATCTCATTTGTGACCAACAAAGTTCTGCACATAAAATGTTTCAAGTGCAGTAGACTAAGCTAGTCATCTCAAAAGAGTTCAAGAAAGGGCAAAAGAGTTCCCAACAGAACTGTTTTGTAGATAAGCTGCCAGTGAATCTCCATTTACATTTCCAAGCTGGCTATATTAGCAATAATTTTCAAAAACAGCTAAGTTTCAATGATTCTGTAAGAGCGCAAGTTAAACAGGCAAAGCAGCTGGTACATGTCATAGGCAATTTAAGTGATTACATCTCAAAATGGATTTCAAAGAAATCCAACATATTATTTTTATATAATTTGTTTCTTCTTAAGCTTTAAGTTATACAGCAATTATTTAAAGGTGTAAGTTTGCTGAATGCCTAGTGAAGTTGTCCTTAAGAGGAGAACTTGCTAGAGACATTATGTTTTTCATGTTTCAGTAAATCACCAGACTATCTCTTACCAAATCAATCCCTTCCTTCCCCTACAAATAATATACAGTACTTTTCTAGGCAAGATCATCACAGTCTCCAAAAAGGCTAATGATCTTAGGAGCACAACCTTCTCTCTCTAGAATGGTTTTAGCAACCATTTCTCTGTAAGGATTCTATGCTGCAGGCAAGTACCAATGGATCTTGATCTAGATTGGCTATATATGCATTAATCACGTCATTCTCTTCGCTACTACACTATGCAGATTATTTTCCTCCCATGTGTTACAATTCTGACATTAGAAAGCGCATATATATCAAAACATAAGCAGTATCAACATTTTTAGTGAAGTATCTTGTTAACTTACATTCATTAGTGCTCAGGGCTTCTTCAAGATGAATGTAGAAATCAGATTTCTGTGCCAGTACTCCAAGGTTTACTACCTTTGACTAGACGACAAAAGTATTAAAAGAGTGTACATGAATATGAAAACACATTTTTAAAACTTATTTTCCTACTGACAGAATAAAAGACTTTGGCAAATATTCATTAACGGAACGAGTTAAAACTGGTACTTTAAAGTCATCAGGAATTTCACTCAGCACTAAAAAGCATTTAAGATTTTTTGAAAATACACTAGATAAACACAGTTATATTTTTTCTCGGTTTTACCTGTGTATCTTTTTCTTCCTCTGGTGGAATGTATCGGGGTATAAGACCGGGAACTGTTGGGATGAAGAAAGGTGCTGCCTTCGGAATTTTAGGTGGCTCTCTCGGTTTATTTTTTTTCTGTTAATTAGATATTTGAATTAAAATAATCATCATCATCATAGTAAGAATACATGGGAATTTTTCTTTGTCAAGAGTTTTATTTTTAAAATGCTATGAAAACTCTATAAAGACTAACTGAGAAGTAATACATAGGTAAAAGTTTTGCTAGTAAATATGAAGACACTATTTAGAAGACAAACAACTTCTCTCCCAAACCCCAGGAATTCTGAAAAGCACCTTATGGCTTTCTACAGCAAAATCTTGAAAAATACCTGAAAAGAGGGACCAAATTTTATGAATAGGTAATGCATCTCATAGACCAAGTGGAAATATATCTGGCTGTTTGCTACTTTTTGCACAGTTTCAGTACCTTGATAACATCAAGGCTGAGGAGGTTTTTCCACCTTGATTCCGGTAATGAGGAAAGGGTCACCAGCTGCTCTTCCAATTGCTCAGGGGAGACATATTCTATCATTTCATCACATGGCTCTTCTTCTCCTGACATATCCTCATCTTTCAGAAACAGATACCATTTATGAACATACATACTCCACATTTATTTTTTTTATATCATACCCAGTATTACTATGTATCTTGCAATTTTTAAATAACAAATGCGTAACATCTATGGATATAAGTGTTAACATAACTTGGAGCAGAAAAGCTACAGAAACAATCTTGTTAACTCTATGAAATATTATGTTTAGATTTAAAAAACTTATAGCTAAAATCCAGAATTGGATAAACAAAATTTTAGAGACTGACAGGATTTGTCCACTTTGGCTGAAATTATATAAAAGTAATTCATAGTAATTCTAAAAGAAAGAACAATTACTGTTAAAATTTTGTTAACAATTTTAAATATAGACACAGAAATTTTAGTTCTACAAAGTTTACAAAGCTGTAAAATCTTTGCATTTAAATATGTACCATATTCACAACCTCATCACAATCTCTTCACTGTAAGGCTGAAGTGGAACATAAAAATCTCAACATTAAAGCCCAACATCCCACAACAAAATGCCTGTCATAAGATTTTTTCTAGACTTTCTTTGTGGTCTTAACCAAACATCTCAATCCTCCCTTTTTTTTTTGAAAAATACTACATGGCTAAAATAATGAATCTAATGGAAAAGCCAACAACAACAAAAACATGTAAACCATTAAGAGCTCTGAGCATCTAAACAGGAACTTTGCATTTGCTGAAGACAGAAAGTAAATTAAAGCTTTAAGCCAGAATCAGTATAAAAACATTCAGAATGTTTGGAAGAAATCCTATCTCCCTAATTTAAATATCTGAAATAAGTATGTGTTTAATAAAGCAGTCATCATCAAGCATGTTCCCTGCTCTTTCAGCGGCCCATTGCTAGGTGTTTCTCCTCCACACGGAGATGGAAATGCAAGCACTGTAAAACTTGGGCAGACAAGATCGCCACCTAGAGGACCACAGAAACACAATCACTTCCAATAAATGCAGCTAAAATGCCATTTAGGCCTTTCTTTCACTGGGAATCTAGACAGGCAGGGTCAGCTGAACCCAATTCTCTTGCCAACAAGACAACAAATAGCAGTGAATCTACCACAGCACACAAGGACAGAAACAAGTTGTGAGGGAAGCAGAATAAAGAACCATCTCCCTCCCACTGCCAGACATTAATGTTAATTTCAAACTGTCCCTACAAACGTCAAACCATAAGGTATTTACACAAATCTGGTATTAAAGAAAGCCAGTAAACAGCACAATGTTTTTGCCACCTAAAATATGCTAATGTTAGTATATGAGTAAGCATGCCAAAAATGGTGGAAGCATTAGGAACAGCTCAGAGAAAGCATGGTAAGACACAATGAGTTTGCCACTGAGGAAGCAAACCATCTTCTATTTGCAGTATAATAACAAACTCCAAATAAAATAGGCTTTCATCTGAAGATTACCTTGCACAGGGCAGGTGCTAGGGAGTGTCACCAAAGAAGGCTCATAATCTGCAGGAAGGGGCCGTAATGACACAAGTGAATACAGAGAACGGTTTGACCTGAAAAATAAGACAAGCATTTTAAAAACAATCTTTAGGTGAACGGGAACAAGTACTTTAGACATGATTTTTATTGCAGTCTAACACTATTGCATTATGGCAATTCACCACGTTCTAGTCAAGATCAGTTTTTCTCATCTACTAGATAAGCAAGAAATGAAGCACAGCAATAGACATCACCTGAAAATCTGAAACATAAAGGTTGTGCTGAAGTATTATTGCCAAGAACATTTAATAATGATTAAGTAACATGTACACAAGTCATTCTACGAAATTACTTTTCTGGCAAGTTATTTTTTCTGTCAGTATAAACCAGGGCTAGGTAAAAACATTTGTCATTATTCACAAGGAAGCACTTTTACCTAACCACAGGAAGGTCTAACAGATGAACGCTCCTCAGGCAAAATCACTGTCAACACATGTAACCTGAAAGATCTATCAAATGAAAGAGGAAAAGCCCTAAAACACTTAAATGGTGCCCTAAGGAGTCACTTGCTTTAAAACCCTATCAGGAGGAAATTGAACTAAAACACCTTACTTCTGTGCTCATCTATCACAAATAAGGACAAATAATCACAACTATCAAATACTACTCACAAGTCTCAGACAACACTGTATAGCAGAACAAGAAAAGCACTTCAAAAAGAAAAACTATTTGAACAAAGACATTTCAAAAGGGTAAAAAAAGACAGAGATAAAGAAAAACTTTAGGAATGGCATAACAGGAATCTTTAAAAGTAAGAAAGAAACACTTAGAAAAAGAGATAATTTAATTATCAGAATAAATACCTTAACTGTAGAAATTTCAAGCTTTATGAATCACAGCAATAGAGAATATCTCTCTTAATTAGAATGAGACAAAACACTGGAGACAATACTTCACAGAGCAATTCTCTATTTGCAGTGAAGGTAATTAAAAGAATTCTTTCTCATCTGAAATTCTGCGTAGAAACAGAAGTATTGCACACTTACCACAAATAAATTCCAAGATCATCCACATGTGCTGAAGCTAGAAAATCTCCTGTAGGTGACATAGTAAGGCTGACAGCTGCAGAGTCCACCAAAAAACAATCTATAAGGCTAAGGAGAAAAAACACAAAAGAGAAATTCTCAGCAAGATGAACTTGTTTATCTATGCACATTTGAATTACAGCTGAATGCAAACACTAGAAGTATGCACACAAACCAGGGTGTAAGACATATTCAAACATATTATATGAATTTAGCAAGTGAACAGCACAGTGCAACAAACCACGTAGTTCTACAAAATTCTCTAAAATTGCCAGCTCCTCAGATATCCACATTCCATGGAAAATGTAGTGAACAATCTGCCCACATTCAACTCCTTATGCTTAATGCTAACCTTCTTAGTGGTCATAAATTTCGAGCTCCCAAACAGCCCCATGTTGCTCTGACCTCATCTTTCAATGCTCTGCCATTAACTGACAATTCCCTTTCTCAATATACTTCACATACACCTGGGTAATACTTGCACCTAATGCTTCTAAAGTAAAGAAAGGGGTGTACAATGCAAAATTTTATGATCTGCAACAGTTTTGACATTACCATATCTTCAGTCTGATATTCCTTTACCATTTCTTTCACTATTGCAGAAAACAGAAAAAATACCATGAAAAAACAAGGTTAAAATATTCAGTACTATGTGATTATTTTAACGGAGCAACACTTGAGTTCTGGATGATGCCAGAAGTCCTGGATGATGCGTGCCCTGACAGACTTGCACTCTAGCCCAGGCTCATAGTATGCTTGTCACTTGTTGAGGTATGAATTTCATTTACTTCAAATTGTAAGTACATTCTGGAAGAATAATTTAACCTAAAGACTTTCAAAACCAGGGTTTGTCTGCTATTTGCCTAGATTTCAGCTTGATCTGATTTTTTTGCCATCAGAGAGAAGAGACAAAACATGTAATTTTGTAACAGACAAACAAGAACTATTGTTAGGGTACTTTTAAAAACATTATGAAAAGATTATTACTGCAAAGTGTTATGTTATCAAAGAAATGAAAGATACAAGTAACTGATATTAATTAATACTGCAATTTTTTGTAGGCATATTATTTTGGAAGGGAACCAGTGTTAGAAAGATAAAGTCCAAACAGAGGGTTAATTTTCTTCCCATTTATACTGGAAAGACAACACCTAATGTCCATCCTTTCCTATTTTCATGGCTAGGCTTTGTGAACGAAGATTTGAGAAGGGCTCTACCCATGCTTGCTACAAGCGCGCTGATAGACTACTGTCATTCATCATGTGAGAACAGGTGATTTGTTTGTTGATACTCAACACACTTTTGTGTGTTGAAGTAAAACTTTTAACAGTACACAAAATTACTCACCACACTATATCAACTAATCAATCCCAGTGAAACCATTTAGTGACCACCAGAACTGCACATGGCATAGCACTACCCTAAATTACTTTAAAAAAAAAGAAATCTATCTGATGTGCTGCTAAAAGAATGCACTGACAGAACTGTAAGTTACTTTTCAGCTTGTTTTTTTCTGGGCTCCTGAACTTCCTGTGTGTACTCATGTATTTGTCGGCCAAATTTTATTCTGGGAGAAGCCTACTCACAGTGGAGCAAGAGAATTTTTGGCAGTTGCAATTAAAAATATAACTGATGTAAAGCCTTATTGTAGGCTAAAATGAATGTAAATGAAAACAGGCTTCTATTTACAAAACCAGCTGGAGTACTGCATCCAACTCTGGGGCTCCCAGCACAAGACAGATATGAAGTTAGAGCAGGTCCAGGAAAATGACTGGAACACATTTCCCATGAAGAGAAGCTGAGAGGGTTGGTATGGTCCAACCTGGGGAACAGAAGGCTCTGGGAGACAACCTTGTGGCCTTTCAGTATTTACAGGGGGCTTGTAAGAAAGATTGAGAGAGACTTTTTAACAGGGCCTGTGGTGAAAGGACAGGGGTCAACAGTGTTGAATTATAAGGGTGTAGGTTTACGTTGGATGTAAGGTAGACATTTTTTTAAGATGAGGGTAGTGAAGCACTGGAACAGGCTGCACAAATAACTTGTGGATGGTCTATCCCTGGAAGTGCTCAAGGCCATGTTGGATGGGGCTTTAAGTAACCTGGTCTAGTGAAAGAAGCCCCTGTCCACATCAGGGTAGTTGGACTAGATCTTTGAAGCTCACTTCCAACTCAAACCACTCTATGATTCCATGAATACTTCAGTGTATCACAATACAATTCAGCTTAAGCAACCTCTTGACCTTTAGATTATAGTGCTGGTTCCAGACAAACAACAAATTAAAACTCACTGACACTACAGGAAAGCTCCAGATGTCCTCAACCCATCTTCCAGATGCTGTCATTCTGCAGACCCAGAAAAAGGGTCTGGCATTGGACACAACTAAATACGGGGTATTTTATATATATTGTTATACCATGTGCAACTCTGAATATCACATAGCACAAGCTGGTGACAAATAACCAAGCCAGAAGGCTTTTTGCCATTTATCAGACAGGAGATTATTATTTCTGCTATATGTTTTTAAACTGACTCACCATCCAGAGGGAAGGTCCCAAGTCTTAATGGTGCAGTCCATTGATGAAGTTATTAGCCAACGACCATCAGGACTGAAGGTCTACAATAAAACAGTGAATTTAATGGCACAATGGACAAGCCAGTCCCTACAGGAGGCACTGTCAAGATTAGACTGCTGCCTAAAACTGGGATGAAATGGTCTGGCCATAAACCAAAACTGACAACACACTGTTGAAAGTGAGAAAAGCTATTTCAGAACAGGTTTAAATATATGACACAGGATAGATCTGACTTATAAATGTCAGGACCAAAGTGCTTTGACTGTTAATGATGAAAACCACTAAGCATAAAAATTGAAAACATTAAATAAATAATAATTTAGTAGCATTTAAAATTAAAAACTACTGCAATGAACTCTATAAAACACTGCTACATAAGATGTAAATAATGATTTGTCAGTGTGTTGCATAATCTCAGATCTGTTTACACCTGACTCATCTCTTCTATGTACACAGCTGAGACTCCTGTAAAACTTTGCTTCTCAACGTAGTTTTTATTATTCCTTATTATATTTATTATTTGTTTGACCCAAAATCAGCTTCTGGCAAAGTCATAGTAAAATCCCAAACTACATTAAAAATAAGATGGTCATTCCAACACTATACATTTTAACTTGAAAACTAACGTGGGCAAAACTGCTGTAGAATTGAACTACAACTCTACAATTTACAGCTGAATATAATACTCAGTGACTTAATGCCTGCAGAGAAACTAATTATCTTTAAAATTAATTAGGTATCTATGTCACCTTTACAGAAAATGAGTTAACAATTACCATGTCGTTAATCCGTCCATGGTGTCCTGAGAATGTCCTGACAATCTTCCTGGTTTCTATATCCAAAACACTAATACTGAAGTCATCAAAAGCAATTCCCAGAATACCACTGCCAAGAAACATTAACACATATGATAGTGAATACTCCAGAGACAAAAAAATATCCTAACATTGTTTCAGGTACCTTTTATCCTAAAATAGTTTGGGATAATTTCAGTATTGCATTCCTTCAGTCTAGTAAACTGTCTTGCAATAATTTTGTTTTGCGTCTATTAGTCAGTTATATTTCAAAGCATCAAATATATTAGCTTAATTAGAACACTGGTTGCCATTTCAGACAAACATGCACATGGAATAGCTTCAGTTTCTTACCTATCTCTGTGAAGCAGAATTGCACTTGGAGAAGAAGAAAGTTCAGTGGAGTAAACTAGCTCTTTAGTTTTGAATTTCCAAAATTTAATTAATCCTTCATTACCAGCTGTGATTACCAGCTGGTTTAATCCATCCACTGCTACCCCTCTAATGGCCCCTTCATGTGCTGCAAATCAAGCAAAAAGAGAGTATTATTTCAGAATCTAAACCTAGCGTAGTAATCAGCTGAATGCCAAACACTATTCTGTATGTCTCTGCCTAACTACACTGAATGAGTAGTAAGGAAGTAACAAACAATTCTAAAGACACCTGACAAGACTGCTCCAATATTATTTTTTTTAACTTGTACAGAAACCAAACTACTTTCAAGTAAACACCTAGAATACAAGTAAAAATTTGTGAGCAGCTGAAGCTGAGTATTAGCTCATATTTCTGTTTTCAGTTTGGGGAGATTTTTGTGAGTTTGAGATTTGAGATACTTCTTGAATCACTTTGGGAATGCCTCCAAGAAGCCAGACCACTCCAAAAAAAATTTACAATTTTAGATCTGGCACAAAGTCTGGAAGTTTTCCTAGGCTACTTTACGTTGCAGTGTAAAGACAAGATGTAGCTCCTCTGGGTTTGGATCAATTTTATTTCTTAATCTATGCCTAGAGCTACTGGCCAGTAAATAAAATTAGAAAACTCATCCTGTTATCAACCAATTATTTTATTAGGAGACCACTTCATGTTTTTTATGCTAGATGACTTTCAGAAACCCAGTAATGTTAAGGGTTCTTTCCTTGTTTCCTCAACAAAACATTCAAATCTTGAGCACCAAAAAAACATGCATGAGGATACATGACATGAAATATATATGTATGCAAACGTTAAAAGATAAGGTCAGAACACTGTCACATTGCAGCTGGGTAATTAAAAATAATACCATATGCAAAGAAATAGAGTTGTTTAGGACTTTAATTTCCCACTCATGTAAAATATTCTTTAAATTTTAAGCAGGGAACGCAAAACAGATGGGAAAATTTATCTCAGAGACAGAACCTTGTAACCAGAAGCCAAGAAACATGATTATCTCAAAAAGAGTGGAGGCCAGTGGTGCTAACCATTTTGGAACTGACAATTTTGTGTTAATTAAAACCAAGGATATGCTAACATCAGAGCTGTTAAAAGTAGCAAGGATCCTGTCCTTCAAATCAGGTTTCTGACTACAGTGTAACATACGGCAGTGTAGGGTAATTAGAGACACTGAAAAGATTCCAAATTCAACTCAGAACCTATGTTAAATATCTCAGATGACAGAACAATAGGTTATTGCTGTTCTTTTCAGAGCCAGTATTTTCAAAGTCTAACAATCCTTACCTTTTTCTTTGCCATAACGCCCTCTGTGAATGCCAGACTGCATGTTATACACATCCACCTGTCCAGTTGACATGCCAATCACAGCAAAGTTACCACATGAGGTAATATCAACCGCCTTTCAAGGGAATTAAAAAAAAAAAAAGTAAAACAAAACAAAGAACCTATGAAAAAGGATTCTTTGAGTGTATATCATAGCAAGGTTTTTAGATGATATGTAGCACATCAGGAACACAAAATACTAACACATTTTTATTAGATTTCTTCAAGGAAATCTGCACAGAAACAACAACTTACATCTCAAAAAAGTAGAGGGAGAGCTCTTAAGACAAGCAAATAGCAACATGTATGTAATAAAAAGGGCACTGCTTTGTTACGAAAGTTTAGTGACATCCATCAGAAGCCATATGTAATAATATCAACACTGTAACCCAAAAAATCAAGATATTCACAAATTCAATTCCTAAGATAAAGTGTAAGCATGGTGACTGCATTCCTCTTTGAATGTTCATATGGCCCATGGCACGCAAAATAATATGAGTTCACCCGGAGTTCAAATAGCAAGAAACAAACAAACAATGGTCTGTCTAGCTGTCTTTGGAAAGATACAGTCCAAAGCAATCCAGTAGCCAAAAGAAAAGCGGGTATTTACAAGTGACTTTATTTAATTACCTACCACTTAGATTGTTTTTCTGACCTTATGTTTAGTAGTTATCACAAGATGCAGGAGTTGCTGAACGCCTAGCATATGAAGTGTGCCACACTAACTACTTGTCTAAGACGCAGGTAAAGCTCAGTAAACATTTGTATTGCCTTCACTGTGGGTTCAACACAATGTCATTGTGTCCAACTCAAGTCGTAAAGCATTTTACATAGACTGTAATGCTGAAGAAACATTGTAAGAAATAAACTTACTGTTGCATATATATCAATAGGCTTGTATTTGCTAAACTCTTCTGGCCTCAGTTTATGAGCTCCCATGGAAGTTTTCTGATAGTTCCAGGTTGTACAGGTTATATACCCTTGATGGCAGGCAATAATACCATCCCAGTCACTCTGATGTGCCACTTCTGCAATGTAACATACAGTCCTTTTACAAACAGTAATTCTAAAGTCAAACAAGCTTTTCTGATATCTTAGAAAAGAATATTTTAAAATAACTTGAGAAAGAACAGTTCATATTTAGTGTTCTTGTTTCACAGTTGAAAGGCTGCCATACAGAAAAAAACACCTGGCAAACTGTTGTGCATGTGGTAGTGCAACTAAATTGCTTACAGAACCACAAGCATTTTTTTAGATATTATGTTTTATGTCTTGGTATGTTTTAGCCTATGCAGTTTGAAATTGCCAAAGAGTAAGAGAGACATTTGAAAGAAAATGCTCTTTTTGAAATATTGAAAACTTTACCAAATAAAACGTAATATTAACCTGTCAACAGCTTACAAAAGGCCACAGACACTCTAAATACTGATCTTATAGCATGAGCTTTCAAAAGAGTAGTGTCTTGACGGTTAAAAGACAAAATGAATATATGATGATACTATATTTACATTTACTCTGTAATGTACATCAAAAACCACTTACCAGAAGCAAAGGCTGTAATTGGTGGAAGTGCCATTGTGTCAAGCTTAAGACCTTTCTTTTTTGATTTCTTTTTGTTAATTGAACCTTTAAAATAGAAGTTAAGTGATTCAGTCTCGTGAGGAGAAATGAGAATAATGGTTTAAAAAGGATTGTTAACAAAACCTAACGTTCCTATTAAACAGGAAAATCTGGCTTACATAAAGCTAAGAATAGTATTAGAGCTCCTGTCAACATTCATGTGATGCTGAGCAAATCACCACCAGCCTTTTACCCAGATGTACAACTCAACCTATTTGTTCCAGTATCTTGTGCTGAAATCTTGATGCAGAAGTTCCCCCATTACACCTAAAATCATGGTCATACAGACATGACTATGCAAAGCCATATGTAATACCCAGCCCCTTCAATAACCAAAGAGTTGGGAATTTCAGATTTATACCCAAAGGATATATATACAAAACCAATTAATCTGCATACGCCTTTTCATATAGATTTAAATACATATATAACCATATAGATAAACACTTAAAACTAAGAATTAATTTAGTCTTTCTGATCCTTGCTCTACAAACTATATCATGGCATTGTGTGCAAGACATGCTTAAGTTAAAGTCTACATTAGATCAAAGGAACTCAAGTCATGAAATATCAATTTAGTCAACTGAATAGAAGGGGAATACAGTAAAAAGTTGTAATTACACATACTGAAATGTCAGGTAATGCCTTATACATTTTAAATACAAAAGTCAAGCCAAACATTTCCCACAGTGAAAGAGCATCCAGTGCCAGGCTATGGAAATTACTTTTTTTAAGTACAAACAAATCTGAGAGTACACTTTGCAGGAAGGACTGAGTTTACAGAACAACTGAGATGACTAATTTTTATACAACAGTTAAGGGAAAATAAGGCCTGTTTAACATTTACATAAACACTTTTCAGAGGTTTTTTTCACCAATACTTGTACTTTGGCTGAAATACTCACCACGTCCTAAACTTTTATTGAACCTGTCATGCACTGTTGAAAAGGACTGCAATGTTCCATCTTGACCTGATAAAAATTAGCAGAGAGTAGAAAAAGGTAAAAATCAACTTATGCATAATCTGCTTGAGAAATGAAAATGAAAGGGTAAGCAACAAGCAACCTCAAACACCATAATAAAGCATTTACTAAAAATTCTGGTCCAAGAAAAAAATACAGATACACTATAAGCAGCATAACTAATGAAGCCTAGTTTCCTATGGCCTACATCCCACTCCTACAGTTTTGCCCCACACATGATCAGAATGATACCTCTTTATGGACACCTTTTCCATGTTAATTCCTCTGTCCCCACTCCTTTCTCCACCACAATATCTAGTTGTACCCAGCTTTCAATGATTAGAGCATTAAATAAAGTGTTGTATCCTTTAAATATCTCCATAATACTCCCAAAGCTTTCTCATGACCCTCTATACTTCCTTTATTAACTACAATATTCCTTCCCTTATTTTTCTAACCAATACCTGCTGTGACTGATTAAGAACTACATCCAGGTTACTCTGCAGGTTAACCCAAACAAAAATGGTAAAAACTAGGTTGTTCATCTTTCCTGTAACCAGGACATTAATGGGACATTCCTACTCTACTCAATGACCAATGTTCACAGAACTCATAGGAATTTAATATAGGGACAGAAAGCTCAAACTTGAAACTAGCAAACAGATCCCCTTGGTGGGGGAGACATGGACAAGGCAGAGCTAAAACCCAACAGAAAATAAAACCGCACAACATACGCAAAATTAAAGGCATTGAGATGATTCTTAAAAATCACAAGAATTACAAAACACTTTTACTACTCCAAATAAGTAAAGAAACAGAAAATTAGTCAAAGTGAACTTAAAGAATCTGAAAGACAATTGAACAATTATACTATTCTAGCAACCTTTCCTTGCTGCTGTGATGGAGAAGTAAGTTAGGATCTGTATACAGGGAACTGGAAGAAAGGTTAAGCAGGAGGAAAGTCTGTGACAACAGTGAAGTTTTACAAAGTTAATTTGTAGAGATGCCTGTTCTAAGGAAACCACAAGAACTTGAAAAACACCTCACAGCATTGCTACTTCATTTCTGCTGCACAAAGTTTTACTACTATTTCAGAAAGGAATGGAGAGAGTCAATCTCTTTACACTGCAGATACATCAGATCTCAGAGCCTGAGATCCTTTTCATTTTAGTGGTTGCCTCTGTGTCCTCTCCATATGTTTTGCAGTAAACTGCAAAGGCAAATGTGAAGATTGGTTAAGCAACATTTAATTGATACTCTGATTTATCTTGAGTGAGCTAAATTACTGACAAGAAACTTGCCACTTGAATCCAAGCTACTAGTTGGATGGCTAGCAAGAGATGTTAGTTTTATCACCATGTACTGCTGTGCCATACTAGGTGCAACATTTCATCAAAATGTAGTGTAATGTTATCAAATGTTGCCCATGTAAACAATTCACTGCTTAGCAGTAAGTAAAGACTAGGTGAAGAGTCTCCACCATTCCATTACTTAAGTGCTCTGGAGTACAAAACAGTCTGACCTAGCACATCATTTCCTAAGGGGTCCTTTCAGAGGTTTTTAAATATGCTAGTTTCTAAGGAAGGGCAGTCACTTATGCATTTTTACCCTTCTAGAAAGGGTTAAGAAGCAACCTTGAAAATATATAATACAGATGCAACTGATCCATAATAAATCACAGAGACAGTACAGCTTGCTCAAACTAGAGGGAAAAGCAGTGTGGCTCCTTTCAGTTACTAAATGCATTATGCATTTATTTTTTTCCTGTTACAAACAGATTTCCCTAGGTGTTACCGGTTTTCATTTTGACCAGTTGATAGTTTTCTCAGGAGACAACGAAATAATTTTTATTTATCAAATACATAAATACAGATGATAAAAGCAGCTCCTATGCTATTCCACTTCAAACGTTTCAGCTTAAGTGAAATAGTTTGCTACAGTAATAAATGACACTGTCTACATTAACTACTTACTATGTTTCATAAATACATATACACAACATATGAAATATAATCTAGTTTATTAATAAAATAAAGACAGCTGTGTGCATTTTCTTTATCACAGCAAGAAATCAGGCTGATAAACAAGAATGAGAACTCCTACCTGCACTAAGAATTTGCTCTCCATTTTGTCCATGGTATCTGATTTTTGTTGGTGGTGCACTGTGTCCCTTTCGGCTTCTCAATACACGACCTGTACCACCAGGTCCATCAAAAATCCACACCTGTATCCCAAAATAAGCAGAGAAACAAGGCTGATAAACACTGCCCTGCCAGTAATTGCATCTCTATTCAGTGGAACAGGTTTAGCTGGGAGCCAGTGCAGCAAACTTCACATGCTGGCTTTCACCCTTCATTCTAAAACTCTGGAAGTTTCTGTCACAGCAACTAATTGTTTCCTGCTGTTCATTCCACCCCTCCATCAGAGGCTGATGGCACCAGAAGACACCCAGCACAAGGGAGTTTTATCAACAGCAACTGCTTGTGATCCAAAATGTTATAAAAATGGATGAAGATTTAAGATAGTGTACTAGGATACATAGTATGGATCTGGAAAAGTGGATCCTAAGCTTTGTTCTTCAAGGCTACTATGAACCAGTAAATGAAGTAATGGTACCATGATAGCAAATCTTTAAACTACAGTCTAGCTGAGGAACCAGCAACTTGAGTTCTTCTGTATTTGTTTCATTTGAGAACTGTTACTTCAAATCCAAACTAAACATTTACACATTGCAGGTCATCCAGAGAAGAAAAAGGTAACAGCAGGCAGTAGCAGCTCTTGTAACTCACCTGTAGAGCATTATCAGCACCATTAGTAATAAGAAGTGGCTCTCCAGGGACAAATGACATGCCAGCTATTGCTGTGGAATGGGCATCTTGCATCTGACACATCAGTTTCTTGTCTTCTAGATCCCACAAAGCAATGTGTCCAACTGGGCTGCCAGCTGCCATTACTGGGTGTCCATCTGCTCAAAAAAAAGTAAAAAAAGGTTTGTTTACTGACATTCAGCACATCCTTATTGACTTCTCACATCTTCAAACTGATGCAGAACCGATAAAGAAAAAGCTAAAATCACACACACACAAAAAACCAAACTCAAATTGATGCTATAAATATGTTTTAATTGTAACACTCTAGTATCAATCAGAAAAGAAACAAAGCTCACTCACAATAAAACCAGGATTTTTTTCATACCAGATAACAAAATATCTAAATCCAGCAGTAAGTGGTAGAAGTTTTGCTTGAAAGCACAAGACATATTGACACATTCTACTTCTCAAAAGTCTTTTCACAATTTTCTCCAGTAGCACTCATCCTCAATAGAGTCTACATCAATCTTGTCGGGGTTTGATCCGGCCACTGCCTCTCCGGGCAGTCTCTGCCTGCATTCTCCACCAAAAAATGTCATGGTTTTGCTCTGGGTCAGTTTGCTTTCACACTCCCCACACAATTACTATTAGTTGAGAGAAGGTTTATGCAGGCAAAAGAGACTGGATTTGGGGAAAATAGTACAAACATTTATTACTAGTAAAATAAAAACTACTAAGGAATTATATCTATAACACCTCTACTTAAGTAAAAAGAACTATGTATTTAGAGAAATACTCCTCCTCCCTTTATATCAGTCCAAGGAAGAGAAGCAGTCGTTTTCTCCATTTTCGGAATTCCAGCTCTCTCTCTCCAGTAACTCTGCAGCATTCTCGTCACAGCTGGAACTCTTTCTCTTTCTCTTTGTGTCGGCTTCCAGGGCTGGGCCTATCCCCCTCCTGGGCTAAGACTGGAGGCTGGGGGGTTACCCAGGCCTTGAAGATCTTTTCTTCCATGGACTTGCAAGGGGACACTTGCCTACCATGGATCTTCTTCCACAGGGTTACAGGGGATAACGGTTTATGAGTCCACCCCTGTTCCTTATGGAGGTCCTTGCCACAGGAGAACAGTCCTTGACAGACCTCTCCAGCATGGGTCTAGCATGGATCCCTTACTTTGATCCCCACATCTCACCCGAGCCATTCTTGCTCCAGCATGAGGTTCTCTCAGGGTCACAAAATCTTCAACAGGACTCTGCTTCATTTCAGTCCTCTCTCATAGAGTCTCAGCTTCCTGGTACATCTACAAGCTCCTCTGTGAGCTGCATGGGGGGGTCTCCTCACCTCAACAATCTTCTACAGGTAGCAGGGATTTATTTTTTAGTCTTTACCCTGCTGAAGGGAGAGAGCGAAAGGGGGGAGAAACAGCCCCTTCTTCTTCGAACTTCTCTCTCCTGCTGCAGCTTCAGCTGCCAGCTTCAACCTTGGACACTCTGTTATCTCTCTGCTGGAATTTCTCTGCAGCAGTTTCTCGTCCAAGCAGTTAGTCCTTCTTTAAAGTTTTTTTCCTTCACTTTCTTAAAAGAGAGAGGGGGGCTTCAGTGCTACACGTGCCTCCGGCCCAAGCCGGGGGAGGCCTGGCCCTCCTCGGGCCCGCTGCTCTTCTACACGCCTGCTGCCCCTAATTTCAACTGTGTAACCCCCTTCTCTTCTGTTTTCTTAAATATGTAATTAGCAAAGGCATTACTGAGAGTTTTAATTGGCTTTTTGTCTGGAAATCCATCTGGACAAAACCATTCTCAGCCCCTGGGGCTGGCCAGCTGGCCAAAACCACGACAATCTATATCCTGATAAGATTTGCAAGTTTCTCTTTTCAAATGAGAGACCAGATTCAGTATCAACAGCTCTGTAGGTAGGATCAACATTAAAATAACTAGCTTTAGTAATTAGACAAGAAAAAGTTGCAAAAATAAAGAGTGTTCCCCAGTAACATCCATTCAGTAGTCACACAACTAACTTTCATTCTAACTAACACACATTCTAACTTTATTTGGGGGGGAAGACATTGCTGAGAAGTAGGTTAGGATAGGAAACTAAGGTGTACTGGTTACTCTGCACTAACTCTGATAACTCTACTGTTGAAGCTCTTGGTACATTGTTAAGAAACTTTTCTTTCCAAAAATGTTGTGTACTGAGTCAGAACAGAAATGCTATAAAACACCACTATAAATCATGATGAAAATGCATGATCTCCCTTACTTATTGCTAACTTCTCTATATTACCTTCAGCCTTTGAAAACTAGAACTCTTAGCACAAATTTTGATTCTGAAATGTTTTATCAAAAAATATTTTCCTGTGTCCCACTTAGTTTTAGTGATTTCATACATATTTTCACTTAAAAAGATGCTAAGACTTACCTGTACGAAAAGATATTGCTGTGATGGGACCCCAGTCTTGTTGGAATTTCATCAGAGTTTCATCAAACTTAATATTATGTACAATGATATGACCAGATACAAGACCGACTGCAACAACATCCACTGCTGGAGCCTGCAAGAAAAATTGAACATCAACTAAAATGAAAAAGGAAAAGCTTGCAGCTACACTGGTAATACTACTACATTCAAGAAAATGTATCTAAGTCTGGGACAAACAGTAAAGAACAAAAATAAGGAATCTCACATGAGATTTTCTCTGTATATCATTGTAATGCAAAACTGAAGATCTGACAAAAAAAAAAAAAAAGAGAGGCAAAATTTTGTGCTTAGTCTCTACTGGTTTCCAGAAGCTCTGAATCCTTTGAGAAACAGACCACTTTAGTGCCCAGTAGGTCTGGTTATTATTCATTATATACCCTGCCACACACTTCCACATTTACAGGTTTTATCCTGGACAACCACCGACCATTTTCAAAGCTGTCATCAATGCTACTAGTAAGTTTAAATTAATTTTTATATCTAAAAAAAATACAGTGAATACAATTAAAAAAATCTTTTCTTGAATCAGAAAAATCTACATGTTATCAACCTCCAAAGCAAAATAAATTCAGCAAAAAACTACTGGTTTTTTGCATGAAGTTACATGAATGATACAAGTTTACATCTTACAAACTGTTTCTGTGAAATTTATATCATATAGCAAAGACTATAGATGTGATAAACACAAAACAACTAAGACCCTAAGTGCAACATAACTAGGATTAGAGGAAGAGCAGATAATAAACCTTCACTCAAGAGAGGGTTATTACAATACCTGAGTGAATACAAACCATCTTTACTGCTGTAATTTTTAACAACGATATTTTGCCAGTTCTTCCTGACCAGTTATGCACAAAAATAAAAGGCAACAAAAGTACTAACTTGTGTAAGAGTTGTGACCGCGGAGCCCCATCCTGGAAATGAGTATAAGAGTTTGCTGGAAAACAACGCATAAAACTCATAAGTCAATTAACTCTTGGGGATCTTCCATGACAAAATGTCCATATAAATCAGATAAAAGAAAAAAAAACCTGTGACACTAATAAGCAGGGTTAAGAATAAAATGTATGCTTCATTTTTACTGAAAAGTTTAATGTCATGCATTAATCCCACAAGAGTGACATAATTACATGACGTGAACAGGGAGGAAGACCCTTCTATGCCAGTTGCTCCCCATGATTTCTGCCATGATCACATCTCTGCAGAATTCTCAAAATTAACATAAAAAGCCAGTCTTGATTCAGCTTCTAATAGAATCACATCCTTCATGTGCAGAGTAACTTCCCTAAATTAAGGCACTAATATGTATTACAGGCACACTCTATCTTGTTCCTTTCAGACATGGTAACAGTCAAAATATGAAGCAGGACTGCTCACAGACAAAGCAGTCATGCAGTACTTATTAAGGGCGAAATTGTGGAGATGTTATTTAAGGACGCAATTAAAATCTATTCTATCAGCACAGGTACAGGTCGGCATTCCTAAAAGACTGCTACCAGTCATGTTACCACCTCTCACTTTCCTTTCCTGCCAGATACAATCAAACTTTCCCCTCAATTCTTTCTTTTTTTTTTGGTCTAACTTTTCCGTTCCTATCTACAAAACAATCTATGGAAGGAACAAATAGCCAAAAACATATAGTGCTTAACCTAGCAATATTGCTAAAAGAGCAGTAACAGTGCCGAAAGTTTTTACACGATTAACAGAGAAATTAAGCCATCTAAGGTAGACTTTTTGTTATCTAGGATGTACTGCATCTCAAGATGCTGTGACAGGTACTGAAGAGATGTAAAAACACATTTACTAGAGACATTTACTTTTCTGTATTTTTAGCTTATTCATATGTCCTGATTTATATAGCATATAAGGCATCTCTAAAACATTAGAATATGAAACAAAAAGAAATAACAGTATGCAGTGGTTATGAAAATAGCAAGCTGACTTAACATCTATTTGCAGTACGTACTGCAGTATGTACTGCAGTATGTACATGCAGGGAAACTCAGTGTACTTGGAGCTTTCATTAGTTAGAAAAGCAGCTGATCTTGTTAGACAGGAAATATTGACATTATGAATTATGATCTACTCGGACATGCTCAGAGACAACAGCATGTCTACACAACTCTTAATTGAGTGTAATGCTCAAATGCTAGTAATTATCTCCACACTACCTGTCAACACTTCCTTGCACCCACAACAACTAAAAAAATTAAGCTTGGAAGAAGGGAGGCAGAAGGCCTGAACATGCTTTTACTATTATTTTAATTGCTTTCATGGAAAAGCTATATGATTCCAAGAAATTTGAACAAAAAAAAACCAACTTCCTGAACAACCCCTGACATTTTGCAAGGAGAGTAAACAACACGCAACCTGAAAGGCAGCAGCATTCTCTGTTCCTGGAGAAAGACCAGTTGAAAACTTTTGCCAATACTTGGTAAAAGATTCCATGTTCAAAACATGTAATACTTAACAGTATTATTTGTTGCATATCAAGCTATTTGGAGCATGAAGTGTAGCCAAGTTATTAAGCATCTTACTTGGATCTAATATTCCACAGCTGCAAGCTTCCTTGTTGACTCCCAAGGAGAATTTTATTCAAATAGGTGCTGGGATGCAGAATTGCAGAAACGACAAAAGTGGCTTTATCAAAATCCACTTGAAGATACTCTTCTGCAAAAAAAAAAGTAAGAAACGATATTAGTGTGGCTACACCTACAAATCTGCAGGCTTGTCATCCCTTTGTAAATGTAAAAGCAGAGCTGATGCTTACTTACAAATCCTGTAACTGGTGTATCTTACATTAAAGGATTAGCTAATGTGTAACAGGACAGGCTCAGCTTTTCATTGTAATACCTGTTGGCTCCAAGGTACATGTTTTCCCCATAAGCCTACCTAGTACAATACTGGCAGAAGTGTAGCGATTTGTATCTTTCTGAGGGATTCCTGCTCCTGCCTGAGCAAAACACCTCATCTGATTAGCATGCCTTTTATTTGTCATAGCAACTTCAAATTGTTAAAGCCTGTTTACAGACACCTTTGAGGTCCAAGATCCATGGAATAACCCTGGTCACGCCAATGACAGTGCTTTCTAAAGCAAAAAGTTTGGGGCACTGAAGCACAATTTCATACAGCACTTGACAATGGCATGAGAAGATGCTGACACAATCAGAAGATTATTCATTAGAATTTAGTTTTACCCAGTTTGGTAAATATCAAGGAATTACACAATTTCAGAGATAAAGCTGCTGTACCACAGTCTTTACCAGAAAATGGAAAACTAAAACGTAATTTCCATACAACTATTCTCTCTTCACACCTATATGGAACCTTCCTGGGTCTCTGAATGTGGTGCAGAATCTATTCATGAACTATTATTGCAGGATTAGGACTTCAGATTAATAACTATCATTTAGGAATTTTCTTTTTTAAGAATGAACTACTTCTGAATATGTGCATTTAACAAAACTGCTTTTCAAATTAATGAATGTTTAACGATCTTATCCTATGAAGTAGTAAAAAAACCAAAGAGATTCTCACCTTCTGACTGTATATTCCAAACAATAAGAACATTATCAACATCCACAGAGATGACATGGTCACCAAAAGGCTGTAGAAGGTGTATCCTTGCCTTGTGACCTTCATAGGTATGAACTACCTATAAATTCAAAATAGAAATGCTTTCAATATAAGCTGTTAGGGCAGCATATCATGTTAACGTAATACCTGAGGACAGCTAACGGACTAACAGCAACAAGTTTAAATAAAAAACATGGAAAGGCCCCACAACTTGAAGTGGAAGATACATAACTATATCTGACATTTAAAACTGCTGGCAAAAATATTTTACCAAAATATTTTTCATTATTTAATTTTAATTTACATATGTGAATTATCAACTTATTTTTTATCTTTAACTACTTAATTATTATAATTAATACATAAAACACAGATCAGCCATTACAAAATTTGCATTTATATCCTCCTGTTCTAAGTTTTTTATTCTTTATTCTACAGTTTGTTTCCTAAAATTGAAGGCACTAAACATCTACAGAAATAGACATCTGTAGAAAACCAGCTGTCTTGAAACCACAAACACTACACAGCTGTCTTGTACAAAGCAATAAGTAAACTAATAAAAACCTCTTTGTTCCTGGCAAAAGCATGGAGAATATTGTCGTATGAAGCAAATATCAGCATGCGATCTGCTGCCAAACATGTAATGTCTTGTGGTAAAGCATTACCTGTTAATCAAACAAAAGAAAAGATAAACAAATCTCAGGTTCATAACAAAACAGAAAGTCTCACAGTGCACTTCTCTGACATAGTGACTCACCAAGAAAGCTCTCCTGTTGAATTTTAGAGAAATGCACACATTTCAGATGAATGCAAATATTACCGTAAAATGTTACAGAGGTGACAACATCATAAGTAACATCAGATTGGTAGATCACAAGGTGGTTTTTCTGAAAAACACTTAAAACTACTGAACTTTCACTTAAAGTGAAGGTATGTATCACTTTTGTGAGGGCTGGAAACACAGATGATAAATCAACATCTCAGCAACAGCAATGCTTATTAGTTTGATAATAACTCTTGCACCTGTTTCCTGATCACAGGTAAAGAAACTGGGAATTTACTGCCCTAAAAATACATCTCACTCACCACCTCGTGACTGGTTCAGAAGGAGTACCTACTGTTGGGATCTGCTACTTTAGTAGCTCAAAAGGGAAATGAGTCAAAGTTTCAGACCCCACTGAGAAACTGTTGGTGTGGTCCCAAATGGTAGAAAACTGAAAAATATACTGTAGAAAAAAATACTCTCAACAAGAGAAATATAAAAATGCAAACTGCAGCACTTAACAACTTTACAGAGAAACACCAGATCAAAAATAACTGAATGTATCTATGACAAAAACTTGCAAGATCACACACCAGCCTTCCTCACAATGTTGCTTTGTACTATGAATTATTATCAGACACAAAGAAACCAGTACCTTTGCTGTACTTCAGCACAGCTTCAAAAGGATAAAACTGAGGACTAACTAAGAAAATAAAAAAGGTTGCACTTCAGGTTTAATTTGTTTGAACATAATAAACATTTTCCCACAGCACGTCTGAAGTGACTTAGACTTACAGCCAAGTTAGAAGTACTCCACATGCGCTGTATAAAGTTTGCTTTTATGTTAAGACAGTTTTAGGCAGACTCTAATTAAAAAAGTCAGAGCACCAACCAACCAACACCAGCACATAGAGAGGCACATCATTATTTTTTTTCAATTACAATACTGTACATAAACATGTCAATTTCTCAAAAAGCTTAGACTATTTCTGTAAGAAGATGTAGCTCACTGAACAGAATATGCAATGCTTTTATGATTTTGAAAGCTGAAAACAGAAGTTACATTAACGTGTCTACAGCTGTTAACTAGCACAGTTGGTCTTCTAAATCTAGTCCCAGTTGTGTGGCATTTATTCTCAAGTTTACAGGTGCTCTTTTAATGAAAAATATTTTATTTATGAGGTCTCTGTAAAAACCTGATGGTAGACAGAAGCCCCTGCTTTTCAAGAAAGTGTGTATCCCTCTGAATCATCTGATCAGCAGTTGAAAGGGACCTTTGGAAATCAATCAGTTCAACATCCCACCAGGTCCCCCCAAAGCTGGACTATCACCAGTACTAGGCAGCTGTTATCTGCCCAGCTGAGTCTTGAACACTTCTGGGGAAGTTCTGCTTAAGCTCTACACCATACTACAGTTACCTCTTTGGGCCGTTTTTCCTACCCACCACTGTGACCCTCTCAAGCTGCAATCTGTGGTTGCTGCTTCTTTTTACTTTGTCTAGCACCATTACCACAAATTCAGCCCTGCCATCTAATTACCCTTAAGGTAACAGGCTGCCTTTAGGTCACCCTATATCTTTCCTTTCTTAAGACTAAACAGATCCAGTTACTTCAATGTCTCTTTTCATATTGCATGCTGTAGGTTCTGACACTCTCCAGCTTCTCAGCATCCCTCCTGCAGGAGAAAGGGGGACAGAACAGGTAGAACCACACTAACCAGGTACTGCAGTCCAGGAATGGCCTTACCAGCATGAAGTATAGGAGAATAACAGTCTCCCCTTATCTGCTGGCTGCATTCTTAATGTAGCCTCTTACATAGCTTGTCCTATTCCTAGTTAGTGTTGTTGGTCCACATTCATCCTGGCACCAGCACAGCCTCAGTTCCTTTTCAGTAGGATGCCATGCAGCCAGTCATTTCTCAGCTTGTTCTGTCCCAGGTGCAGGATTCTGCACTTGCACTTGTTGAACTTGGTGAGGTCCCTGTTGGCCTAGGCTCAGTGTTTTGTAACAGCTCCCTGGACTGAAACTCTACCATTCTAGGTGTCAGCTACTCCTTCTAAGACAGCATCATCTGCAAACTTATCCTAAGAGTGCATGCTGCCTCATCAACCAGGCTGCTGGTGATGGTGCTGAAGATGGGCCCCGCTGTTACTGACTCCCAGAGTGCTTTATTCCCAACAGCCAAGGGAATGGCAGGCCATCAGTACATATCCTTTGTATCCAGCAGCACAATCAGTTCTTAACACTGCCTGAATACTTCTATTCCCATCCACATGTATTCTTTTCATGTAATTATTTTATATAACTCCTGTAACAGTCTTCTAATAAGCACAAAAACAACAATCAAAAAAAGGGATCTGAAATCAATTCAATAAATTAATACTTGACTTTTATTCACTGCTCAATCCTTAAGGTCTAGTGGTGTTCTTGGAAGACCAAGATGATAAGAACAGAAGGTTCAAAAGGTATGTCTCTAAGAAAACTAAGTTACAGTTTCAACAGCAGTCCTATTTCCCAATTGATATCTTATATTTCTGAGACTCCTCTCAACATATTTGAGTGTAAATATTACAAAATATACAATTTATTTTTTGCTTCTGAGTTGAGAATCAAGTGCAGATGTCAAAGATGTTAAAAACTCCACAAATGATAGGAATGAACAATCTGTGTATACTTACTCACAGAAACAATACCAAGCTTCTTCACCTGCAATGAAAATGTTAAAAAGGTGTTTTTAATGACTGGTTGCAATGAATTTGCTATAAACAGAAATTAAAAATTCTGGAATGATACAAAATGAGATTAATTTGCACACCTCACAAAGCAGAAATACTATTCACCTTAGTTTACAACAGCATCTACTGGAAAACATGCAGACAGCAGGTCAAAAGGAATGGGACAATACATTTGCAAAAAGAACGCCACTCAGTAAAACTAAGTTGTGCTTCCTAATGTATTTCACCCTAATGCACAGGAAACTAAAGACATGCTGAAACACCTTGTAGAGCTTGGGCAACTTAGTTTCCACATCACCTCTGTTTTGACTTTATTTTCACTACAACCACACTGTATTCTAATTTTATATCTGCTCACGAAGAATTTGCTTTAGTTGCAAGCATCTTTTCCACTGATGATCATTACTATTTCAGTTTAAAGTCTGTGAAGAGAATGACAGAAGTGAACACTAAAAAGCAGCACAAAGGTGGAGGAAGATCTATGCTGTCTACACTCTATTGTTCACTGTACTTAATTGTTTCAATTCCATTCTCTTTAGTTACTGTTTCTATACACTGATTATACTTTGACTGTGCCCAGGGAGGTCATGAAGTTTCCTTCTCTGGACACATTCAAAACCCACCTGGACACGTTCTTGTGTCACCTGCTCTAGGTGACCCTGCCCTGGCAGAGTGGTGTGACTGGATGACATCCAGAGGTCCCTTCCAACCCTAACTCTGCACTAACTCTGTGAGACTGCACTGCAAGAAAAGAGCCTATACCACAGACTTTCATATGGCAGAACTCAGTTATGCTCATCTGCTTCCATACAGGAGTTTTAATAGGATCTGACTGCCTGCCTCCCACCCCCTCAAAAAATACGTGTGCAGCCTAACCCACAGGTATCCCTGCTGCAGGGGAGCTTTGATTCATTTTGTAATGAGGAAAAGCCTCAGAACCTGGGTGTTCCTCTGGAAGTATTGACAGTATTTACAATACAGAAACTACAGATAGCCAAGCCAAGTGATTTAAAGAAACAATGACGAGACAAAATGAGGCAGCCAGATGCAGCACTCAGTTACCGCATAAGCAGGTGCACTGTCTTGAGGAATTTCACAAGGTGGCCACTTAGAGTTTTGGGGCCTCCAGATACAGAAAAGACCCCCAGAGACCTTACAAAGACATATATATATATGCTAATAAATGTTGGGAAATGTCATTAATATATAAGAGGAATGCAGGGAATGAAAAATAAATAATCATGCAATGCAGACATACAAGCTGCAGTGAAAAAATACCTCGGTGTGCACTTTGGCGAAACGATTCCCAGGGCATCCGGCGCGCTGTGACAATGCAGCGCGTCGTAATAAACAATGTCTGAATTCTAAAACTCACAAATTTGGTTCTTAAAAGTTTAATTTTAAGTCCCATTTTTAGGCAACGGGATGCGCTATGCTGTAGGGGCCAGGGCTGCTCACATGGCTGAACAAGCCCATTCCCGGCCTGTTTAGCCAGCAGTCTCCATCCCTCCCTCCGAGCCGTGGTGCCTGGGGCGCCGCGGCCCCGCACACCCTCCCGCATCACGATGGGGAGGTCGGGGAGGGGAGGAAGCGGGGAAAGAAGCGGGTCTCCCCGCACGGCCGGAGGAGGTAGGATGCCGGGAAGCGGCGCGGGGGACCGGGATGTACTCACGTTGTAGGTGTGCACGCTGCGCCCGACGGCGGTGGCCACGTAGAACTCGCGGTGCCGGCCGTGGTAGCGCAGGACGTGCGGGACGTGCCCGCTGAAGCGGCCGAGCACTCGGAAGCCGGCGAAGAGCCCCGCGCCCTCCCGCGACATCGCACCACACGTGTCTGTGTCCCTCTCCCTGCCCGCATCCGCCTCCCGCCCGTCCTCCCGCAGGAAGCACCCGCCCTCCTTCCGCCATCCCGCCCCGCCCCGCCGTGCGCTGCCGAAAGCGGTCCCCGCACCGCACCCACATTCCCCGACCCGCAAACCCGCTCCGCGCACCCGCGCCGAGGCACGCAGAAGACCGTCACTCGCGCATACACTCCCCGCAGCCACCACTGCGTGTCTTTTCCTTTTATTCTTCCGGTTTTTAAATCCCCTTTTATTTTGGGGGTTTTTTTTAACCCCGTTTTTCAGTTTTTTAATCCCCTTTTATTCTTCACTTTGTTATCCCCTTTCTCCTCACAAAGCATCGAGTCCGGCTGCAGGAGACAGCGCGGCAGCGAAGCGCGGGTGTGAGCTGAGCTCCCGACGGCGCGTCCGTCCCGGCGGGACCGCGGGGTGCCCGCTCCAGCAGCCTCTGAGCTTCCTGAGGTGTTCTGGTTGTTTGGGGTTTTTTTGCTTGGTTGGTTTTTTTGTGTGTGTGTGGTTTTCTTGTTTGTTTTGTTTGGTTTTTTGGTTTTGTTTTGGTTTTTTGTTTGTTTTTTTTTGTTTTTGTTTGTGGTTTTTGTTTGTTTTTTGGTTCTTTTGGGGGGGGTTACGCGCGTGTGTGTGTGTGTGTGTGTGTGTCTGTGTGTGTGTGTATACGTGTGTGGGGGTGTTTTAATAAATTATGCATGTTAAAAAAACCAAACCACCCCGCAGGATGACTCCGTGGCGACAATAAAAGTGTCAATACGGCGGACAATAAAAGTGAAGTTTTTCCCAAGGCCACCTATCCCAAGTTGTTATAGCTTCTCCACACCGCCATCAGCTCCCGGGCCTTGCTCCTGTCGCACGGGGCTGGGCTCCCCGCACCGCCCCACCGCACCGCCCCGTCGGCGTTCCCGGCGCTGCTCCCGAACCTCCCCGCGCTGGAACGGCCCCGCTGCGCTGTCCCCGCACCCTCTCCCGCCGGGCAGTAGCCGGGGCAGCGGCGCCGCAGGATAGACAGGGTGTCTCGCCACAGCTCCGGCCGCTCCCCGCATCCCCGAGCCCGCTCCAAGAGGCACTCCAGCAGCCGACCCGCTCGCTCCACCCGTCGGGAATCCTGCGAAAAGACGTCTGGTCACGACCCCGGCCCTCAGCCCCCTCTCCCTCTAGCGCCTCTGCAGCCACCCCTTCTCCCTCCTCGCTCCTCATCCTTCCCCCCTTCTCCCAGCTTTTCCTTGTTTTACTACCTTCCCCTCTCCCGGCCTTTTCCCCCCTCTTCCCCTTTTTACCTCTTTCTGCCTTTCCCTCCTCTCTTTCCACCTCTCCCCCTTTCTTCTCCTCTCCTTCCCACCCTTTTATTTGGTTTTGTCTTTTTGTTTGTTTGTGGTTTTGGGGTTTGTTGTTGTTTTTGGTTGGTTGGTTGGTGGTTTTATGTTTGGTTTTTTATGGAAAGGAAAAGCCACCTAGCCGCCGGGGGGTGCTTGCACCTGGGCGAACCTCGGACTGCTGCGTGCCCGTCGGCTGGGAGGGCGCATCCTCGCAGGTGTGAAAATCGAGTCGTAGCTCCTGGAGGGAAACAATAACAGGGTGGATGCTCGTTAAAGACACAGCCCCTAGCTGTCAACCCTCTTGGCACCCCGCTATAGACATCCCTACTGCCCCCCGCACAATCCCGTCGGGGCCTCCGGGTGTTTGGGCGGCTGCGGGAGTCGGGCGGCGGCGGTGCGGGGCAGCTCGTACTGCGCTGCGCTGGGCAGCTGTGGTGCCCGGAACAGCAGCGGGGCTTACTCGCCCCCACAAACACTGCCCTCTCTTTCTGCTAAGGAAAAACGTGTGTGAACCATCCGTGTAGCTTCTAAAACCACTGATCACCTTTGCAACAGTGACACCATCTTCAGCGTCGGTGGAGCATTATACAAGCAACTTTCAGTCCTACGGGTCTGCAAAGCGCTGGGAAGCGTCGGGTAGCGCTCTAGCAGCGGCCGCCCGGGCTCCTGCTCTCCGTCCCTGACAGTCCCAGCTTCAGCGAAGCCCATTTTAGGAAGGTCGCCGGAGGACAGCTGAACATAATTTCAAGGTCCTGTTTCACAGGCACCGATTTACTAAACTAGCCAACTCCCGGCTTGCTAAGGAGATTTTCAGAAAGTAGCTGCCGGTGGTCAAGGATAAAAAGTGGAGGCAGTGCCGTCCCGACCGTTTCCCTCCGATGCCACTAGAGAAAGCACCAACCTCTTGTGTAAAGGTCTTGTCTGGATCAAAAACGTTTAGTAGATCCTCTTGTATCTCCTCGTGGTTACAAAGGCTGAAATTGTAGGTGGATCCCCGCGGTAAGAAGGCGATCTGAATAAAGATGATCAAGCGACAAAGGACTGTGTAAGAAAAAGCCAAAGGTTAATTCTCCTGCACCGCTACGTGACCCAAGAGGGCACGGAAGACAGATCTGAAGAGAGGGATGCCCGTGCTTCGGAAGCACTAGAGAAACTGGTTGATTACCCTTATGATTATCCATGGTGTCTTTACACGTTGTTTTTCTCCTCCCGGGCTTCAGATCGTTGCTGGCTTCATATATGTACCTGTACGCCTACGGAAATAAAGGTTTCCAATTCCATAACCGGGGCTCATTTGGATGTCTCATGCACCTCTTTCCAGAACTGTAAATAATAATTACTCAGTCTTGAGGTTGTGTCACTTATTCGAAAAGAAAACTGGGATAACGAATAATAATCAAAGGCAGTATCCAAACCCAAACCAAAACAAACGCATACACAAAAGCTCTACAATAGACAATCTTGCATCAAACAAGTGGGAATAGCACTCGTAATTGCGCGGGGTACACCTTCAGCGTGGACTGTTGCAATAACAGGATTTTCTCTCAAAGGCAAGAAAAAATGCTTCAGGGCACCTGCAGAGGGACTGCCCGGGGATGGACGCTCCTACTTCCCACACGGAGGTTGCAGGAGTATCTCTAGTGGATAATTTTAACACAATAGCGTGGGAGTGGATGGAAGGTAGTGGTTATTTCCCCACACCGTCTACAGCTGTGGGGTTTTTTTCTCTCGAAAGTGAACGTTTTACTTTGCAAACCACTCTCCCGGGGAGCACCTTGGCTTGTGCGGGCTGCGGGGAATGCAGGAGAGGAGCGCTTGCTCGGGATCGGGGACAGCGTTAGCCGACAGGATAGCTGGCTGCCGCGGGCACTGGGGATCGAGATGCGAGGGACATCGGAGGACAGGCTGCCCCGGGCACTGGGGACCAGGATGTGGGAGACATCGAAGAACAGGCTGCCCCTGGCGCTGGGGACGGGGATGCTCGGGACGACGGAGTATAGGGTGCTCCAGGCACTGCGGATCGGGATGTGGGAGACATCGGGGAACAGTCTGGTCCTGGCACTGGGGATCGGCATAACTGGGACACTGGGGTAGAGTCTGCCAGGGGCACTGCCTCCCAGGATGGCCGGGATGCAGGGCCGAAGGGAAGAATGGCCCTGCTGCCTCCCTCGCTTCCCGGAGCCCCTTCTCCTAGGGCGGCGGGCACCGACACCTCTGCCACGGTCTCCACCAGCTATTCCCTGGTCCCGCTAAAGTGTTTAACGAAGAGTGTCCGAGGAGCCTCTGCGGAAGCCCCGTCCGGGGACATGCTTGTTTTCGGGGAATGCTGCTCCGGCATGAATCATGAGGGAAAGCCTGGAAGGCTGCCGCGGCCGCCGCGGGACAACACGGCTGTCTGACCCGCTGAGCTGGGGACGAGCCAAGGCGGGTTAGTCACCAGTGCGTGCCTGTCCGCTTGAGCGAGTTCCCGCCCCGCTCTCCTCCTGGATCTCTCCCTGCTCTCTGCCTTTGTTTCTTCCCGTCCTGCGTCTCGCAGCCCGGGAGCTGCCTGTCTCTCCTCCCGGGCTCCGAGCAGGACGGCTGGAGGGGGCCGCAAAAGATCTCGGGTCTCCGGTCTCTGCTTCAAACGTGGCCGCAGCCCTGTGACTCTCTGAATGGTGCGTGTGTCTGATTTTGTGTGTATGTGTGATCTAGTAAAAATCGATGTTTTAAAATCTGTGCTTTAAGAGCTGTTGCATTAACGTCGAGGCAGCTGCAAAGCAGGTGCATGGAGCTGCAGCTGAGCCCGGGTGGGCCTTCAGAGCACTTGAAGAATCGTATCAGGTTGCTTACCTTCATTGCTGTCACATTGCTGTTTCCAAACAAATCCCTGTTTCCAAAAAAGTCTTTTTCTCATATTCCAGTAGGGGGTTTCTTATCTTGCAAAGTCATGTGACTTGATCTTTCTCCAGAGCTTTCTGTTTGAAGTTGCTAATAGATTCATAAGAGTTAGTAAGCTAAAAAAAGGCAAGTCTTCTAAATAGTTTTGTGTTTCTCCTCTTACAGCTTCATAATCAATGGTGCACCCAACCTAAAGAAGGTCATCTTAGGTGAATTTTATTGTACACCTGAAAAACAGCATCATAACCAATGAAAAGCCTATTCATGCCATGAATATGTGTAATACTGATCTAAGGACCAGTAGCATGTTACTTTTTACCTTTTATTGTTCATTTCTCTTTACTGAATGGAATACCAACCCCTGTGAATAGTTAAATAGAAGCATTTATTTGTCCTTACGAAACATGACATAGTAATCCCCTATAGGTAAAAGGTACAACTTTGTTTTAATGCAAAAAACACTGGATTGAAATTCTTTTCCTTTACTATTAATATACACATGCTTTTATGTTTGAAGCTGTATCTCTGAAGTTAGTAGTAGAAAAAGGTTAGAAAAGACACTGGCAATATAATCAAATTAGCAAATGAAAAAAACATGTTTTTAAAAGAAAGTAAATTTGTATGTGGCTATAAAAGACAATTTGGCATTCAAAACATGCATATAAGTAAGTTCAAGTCAAAGTGTATTCAGAAAAAAAAGAATTTACTTACCTTTTATTTAACCGCTTTTTTTGTATGGGGAAGTTCTGTAAAAAATAGTATCTAACAGCTTTGCTACTCTCTAATTT